CCACCACCACCACCAACACCTCCACCACCACCTCCATCACCTCCACCACCACCTCCATCACCTCCACCACCAACACCATCACCACCACCCCCAACACCAACACCACCACCCCCCCACCACCACAACCACCCCCGACCACCACCCTCACCACCACCCCCACCACCAACACTACCTCCTCCATCACCTCCACCACCAACAACACAACCAGCACCACCACCACCCTCACCACTACCACCACCCCCACCACCACCACCCCCACTACACCACCACCAGCATCACCACCATCATGACCATCACCACAACCATCATCACCATCACCACCATCATCACCATCATCACCATCACCACCATCATCACCATCATCACCACCATCATCACCATCACTACCATCATTACTACCATCACCACCATCACCACCATTATCACTACCATCATCACCATCACTACCATCATCACCATTACTACCATCATCATCACCACCATCATCACCCCCACCACCACCAACACCACCAACACTACCTCCTCCATCACCTCCACCACCACCAACACTACCATCACCTCCACCACCACCAACACCACCCCCACCACCAACACCACCAACACTACCTCCTCCATCACCTCCACCACCACCAACACTACCATCACCTCCACCACCACCAACACCACCACCCCCCCACCACGCCCCCCCCCCACCCCCCCCCACCACCCCCCCCCCCCCCCCCACCACCCCCCACCACCCACCTGCAGGTACAGGAATCTCAGCGCCTCCAGGTCGTCGAAGAGGCCCGTGGGGAGCTGTGCCAGGCCACAGCGGTAGAGGTGCAGGGCCGTGAGCGAGCGGAGGCCGCCCAGGGCCCCCACGGGGAGACTCCTGAGGGCCGGGTTCGCCCCCAGGTCGAGCTCCTCGAGGCGCGAGAGACCCCGGAAGGCCTCGGAGTCGACGCGGCTCAAATTGTTGGAGTGTAGCCAGAGGGTGAGCACCTGGGGTGTGAGACGCAGAGACACAGACAGAGAGAGAGAGAGAGAGACACGCAGAGACACACACAGAGAGACACACACAGAGAGAGACACAGAGACACAGAGACACAGAGACACAGAGAGACAGAGACACACACACAGAGAGACACAGAGAGAGACACACACAGAGAGACACAGAGAGACACAGAGACACTCACAGAGACACACACAGAGAGACACAGAGAGAGACACACACAGAGAGACACAGAGACACAGAGACACACACAGAGACTCACACAGAGACACAGAGAGACACATACAGAGACACACACAGAGACTCACACAGAGACACAGAGAGACACATACAGAGACTCACACAGAGAGACACACAGAGACACAGAGAGACACACAGAGACACAGAGAGACACAGACAGAGACACAGAGACACTCACAGAGACACACACAGAGAGACACACAGAGACACAGAGAGATACACACAGAGACACACAGAGACACAGAGAGAGACACACACACAGAGACACAGAGACACAGAGAGAGAGACACACACAGAGAGACACTCACAGAGAGACACAGACAGAGACACAGAGACACAGAGACACTCACAGAGACTCACACAGAGAGACACACAGAGACAAAGAGACACACACAGAGACTCACACAGAGACACACACAGAGAGACACACACAGAGACACACATAGACACAGACAGAGACACAGAGAGACACTCACAGAGACACAGAGACACTCACAGAGACTCACACAGAGACACAGAGAGACACACACACAGACACTCACAGAGACACAGAGACACTCACAGAGACTCACACAGAGACACAGAGACACACAGAGACACACACAGAGACACAGAGACACACACAGAGACACAGAGACACACACAGAGACACACAGAGAGACACACACAGACACACACAGAGAGACTCACAGAGACACACACAGAGACACAGAGACATACACAGAGACACAGAGACACACACAGTGACTCACACATAGACACACACAGAGATACACACACACAGAGACACACAGAGACACAGAGACACACATAGAGACTCACACAGAGACACACACAGAGAGACACACACAGACACACACAGAGAGACTCACAGAGACACACTCAGACACAGAGACATACACAGAGACACAGAGACTCACACAGAGACACACACACAGACACACACAGAGAGACTCACAGAGACACACACAGAGACACAGAGACTCACACAGAGACACACAGAGACTCATACAGAGACTCACACAGACACACACAGAGACACACACAGAGACTCACACAGACACTCACAGAGACACACAGAGACACACACAGAGACACACACAGAGACACACACAGAGACATAGAGACACACACAGAGACACACACAGAGACTCACAAAGAGACACAGAGACTCACACAGAGACACACACAGAGAGACACACACAGACACACACAGAGAGACTCACAGAGACACACACAGACACAGAGACATACACAGAGACACAGAGACTCACACAGAGACACACACACAGACACACACAGAGAGACTCACAGAGACACACACAGAGACACAGAGACTCACACAGAGACACAGAGACACACAGAGACTCACACAGAGACTCACACAGAGACACAGAGACACACAGAGACTCATACAGAGACTCACACAGATACACACAGAGACACACACAGAGACTCACACAGACACTCACAGAGACACACAGGGAGACACACAGAGACACACACAGAGACACACACAGAGACACACACAGAGACATAGAGACACACACAGAGACTCACAAAGAGACACAGAGACTCACACAGAGACACACATAGAGACACACACAGAGACATAGAGACTCACACAGAGACACAGACAGAGACATAGAGACTCACACAAAGACACAGAGACTCACACAGAGACACACACAGAGACTCACACAGAGACACACACAGAGACACAGAGACACAGAGACACACACACAGAGACACTCACAGAGACACAGAGACACAGAGAGACACTCACAGAGACACAGAGACACACACAGTGACTCACACATAGACACACACAGAGAGACACACAGAGACACAGAGACACACATAGAGACTCACACAGAGACACAGAGAGACACACACAGAGACACTCACAGATACACAGAGACACAGAGAGACACTCACAGAGACACAGAGACACACACAGTGACTCACACATAGACACACACAGAGAGACACACACACAGAGACACAGAGACACACATAGAGACTCACACAGAGACACACACAGAGAGACACACACAGACACACAGAGAGACTCACAGAGACACACACAGAGACACAGAGACATACACAGAGACACAGAGACTCACACAGAGACACACACACAGACACACACAGAGAGACTCACAGAGACACACACAGAGACACAGAGACTCACACAGAGACACAGAGACACACAAAGACTCACACAGAGACTCACACAGAGACACAGAGACACACAGAGACTCATACAGAGACTCACACAGACACACACAGAGACACACACAGAGACTCACACAGACACTCACAGAGACACACAGAGACACACACAGAGACACACACAGAGACATAGAGACTCACACAGAGACACAGAGACTCACACAGAGACATAGAGACTCACACAGAGACACAGAGACACACACAGAGAAACACAGAGACACAGAGACACACAGACACACACACAGAGACACACAGAGACACACAGAGACATAGAGACTCACACAGAGACACAGACAGAGACACAGAGACTCACACAGACACACAGAGACACACACATAGACTAACACAGAGACACACACAGAGACACAGAGATACACAGAGACACAGAGACACACACAGAGACTCACACAGAGACACAGAGACTCACACAGAGACACACACAGAGACTCACACAGAGACACACACAGAGACACAGAGACACAGAGACACAGAGACACTCACAGAGACACAGAGACACAGAGAGACACTCACAGAGACACAAAGACACACACAGTGACTCACACATAGACACACACAGAGAGACACACAGAGACACAGAGACACACACAGAGACTCACACAGAGACACAGAGACTCACACAGAGACACACACAGAGACTCACACAGAGACACACACAGAGACACAGAGACACTCACAGAGACACAGAGACACAGAGAGACACTCACAGAGACACAGAGACACACATAGAGACTCACACAGAAACACACAGAGAGACACACACAGACACACACAGAGAGACTCACAGAGACACACACAGAGACACAGAGACATACACAGAGACACAGAGACTCACACAGAGACACACACACAGACACACACAGAGAGACTCACAGAGACACACACAGAGACACAGAGACTCACACAGAGACACAGAGACACACAAAGACTCACACAGAGACTCACACAGAGACACAGAGACTCATACAGAGACTCACGCAGAGACACATTGAGGAGTGTTTTGAGGAGTGTTTTGAGGAGGAGTGTTTTGAGGAGGAGTGTTTTGAGGAAGAGTGTTTTGGGGAGTGTTTTGAGGAGGCGTGTTTTGAGGAAGAATGTTTTGAGGAGTGTTTTGATGAGGAGTGTTTTGAGGAGTGTTTTGAGGAGTGTGAATCTGAACCCCCCCCACCCTCGAGTGTTTTGAGGATGAGTGTTTCTATGCGGAGTGTTTCTAGGATGAGTGTTTTGAGGAGGAGTGTTTCTAGGAGGAGTGTTTTGAGGATGAGTGTTTCGATGAGGAGTGTTTGAGGAGTGTTTCGAGGGTGAGTGTTTCGAGGAGGAGTGTTTTAAGGGGGAGTGTTTTGAAGAGGGGTTTTTGATGAGGAGTGTTTAGAGGAGTGTTTCGAGGAGGAGTGTTTCTAGGAGGAGTATTTGAGGAGTGTTTATGGGAGGAGTGTTTCTAGGAGGAGTGTTTCTATGGGGAGTGTTTCTAGGAGGAGTGTTTCGCGGAGGAGTGTTTCGATGAGGAGTGTTTCGAGGAGGAGTGTTATAGGGGGAGTGTTTCTAGGATGAGTGTTTCTAGGAGGAGTGTTTATAGGAGGAGTGTTTCTAGGAGGAGTGTTTCGAGGAGGAGTGTTTCGAGGAGGAGTGTTTCTAGGAGGAGCGTTTCTATGAGGAGTGTTTATGTGAGGAGTGTTTCGAGAAGGAGTGTTTCTATGAGGAGTGTTTCGAGGTTGAGTGCTTCTAGGAGGAGTGTTTCGAGGAGTGTTTCTAGGATGAGTGTTTCTATGAGGAGTGTTTCTGTGAGGAGTGTTTCGAGGAGTGTTTCTGGGATGAGTGTTCTAGGAGAAGTGTTTCGAGGATGAGTGCTTCTAGGAGGAGTGTTTCGAGGAGTGTTTCTAGGATGAGTGTTCTAGGAGGAGTGTTTCTAGTAGGAGTGTTTCGAGGAGGAGTATTTTGAGGAGGAGTGTTTCGAGGAGGAGTGTTTCTATGAGGAGTGTTTCTGGGAGGAGTGTTTCTAGAAGGAGTGTTTCGAGGATGAGTGCTTCTAGGAGGAGTGTTTCGAGGAGTGTTTCTAGGATGAGTGTTTCTAGGATGAGTGTTTCTAGGATGAGTGTTTCTAGGAGGAGTGTTTCGAGGAGGAGTGTTTTGGGGATGAGTGTTTTTAGGAGGAGTGTTTCTGGGAGGAGTGTTTTGAGGATGAGTGTTTCTGGGAGGAGTGTTTCTAGAAGGAGTGTTTCTAGGAGGAGTGTTTCTAGGAGGAGTGTTTCTGGGAGGAGTGTTTCTAGGAGGAGTGTTTCAAGGAGGAGTGTTTCTAGGATGAGTGTTTCTATGAGGAGTGTTTCTAGGAGGAGTGTTTCTGGGAGGAGTGTTTATAGCAGGAGTGTTTCTAGGAGCAGTATTTCTAGGAGGAGTGTTTCTAGGAGGAGTGTTTCTGGGAGGAGTGTTTCGAGGCGGAGTGTTTCTATGAGGAGTGTTTCTAGGAGGAGTGTTTCTGGGAGGAGTGTTTCTATGAGGAGTGTTTCTAGGAAGAGTGTTTCTAGGAGGAGTGTTTCTAGGAGGAGTGTTTCTACGAGGAGTGTTTCTAGGAGGAGTGTTTCTATGAGGAGTGTTTCTCGCAGGAGTGCGAACCTGATCGCCGAACTCTCCCCGCTCGAGGCGTCCGATGTGGTTGCCCTGCAGGAAGACTCTCCGTGCCCCCAGGGCAGCGATGCCCCGGGGCACGGCCATCTTGTTCGCCCCGGGGCAGCTGAGGGTAGCAGGCGAGTCGAGGCACTGGCAGCCCTGGGGGCAGCCGCCCTCTGACCCTGCCCCTGCTGCCCCTGCTGCTGCCCCTGCTGCTGCCCCACCACCAGCTGCCCCAGCTGCCCCTGCTGCTGCCCCTGCTGCCCGCAGAGGTCTGAGCAGGAGGAGGAGCAGCAGCAGCGGCAGCAGGAGGGGCAGCAGCGTGGGCAGCGGAGGGGGTGGAGCCGAGGAAGGGCGGAGACCTGGAGGAGGTGGGAGGGGAGGGGCGTGGAGGGTGGTGGAGGGGGGGAGGGGCGTGGAGGGTGGTGGGGGGGGAGGGGCGTGGAGAGGGGAGGGGCGTTGAGGGGGGAGGGGCGTGGAGGGGGGAGGGGCGTGGAGAGGGGAGGGGCGTGGAGAGGGGGAGGGGCATGGAGAGGAAAGGGGCGTGAAGGGGGAGGGACGTGGATGGGGAGGGGCGTGGAGAGAGGAGGGACGTGGAGGGGGAGGGGCGTGGAGGGGGGAGGGGCGTGGAGGGGGAGGGGCGTGGAGGGGGAGTGGCGTGAAGGGGGAGGGGCGTGGAGGGGAGGGGCGTGGAGGGGAGGGGCGTGGAGGGGAAGGGGCGTGGAGGGGGAGGGGCGTGGAGGGGCGTGGAGAGAGAGGGGCGTTGAGTGGGAGGTCTTACACAGAGTGGTAATATCACAATATAACGTAGTGGACGTGGTTGTTATTGATGTTTCATGCCTCTGTTAGCTCCTCCGTCAGGAAGGGTTCCTTCCCGGGTATCACAGCAGTAGGGGGCATCCCCAGTGGCAGCTGTCCCTGTTAGTCTGCTATTGTGGGACTGTATCCTAACTAAGACTCATTCACTCACTCACAAACTCACTCACTCATACACTCACTCACTCATACACTCACTCACTCATAACTCACTCACTCATAACTCACTCACTCACTCATACACTCATTCACTCATACACTTACTTATTCATACACTCACTCATACACTCACTTACTCACTCATACACTCACTCACTCATACACTCACTCACTCATACACTCACTCATACACTCACTAACTCATACACTCACTCACTCATACACTCACTCACTCAAACACTCACTCATACTCACTCACTCAAACACTCACTCATACACTCACTCACTCATACACTCACTCACTCACTCAAACACTCACTCATTCATACACTCACTCATACACTCACTCACTCATACACTCACACACTCACTCATACACTCACTCACTCATACACTCACTCACTCATAACATCATTCATACACTCACTCACTCATACACTCACTCACTCATACAGTCACTCACTCACTCAAACACTCACTCACTCACTCATACACTCACTCATACACACACTCACTCATGCACTCACTCATACACTCACTCACTCATACACGCACTCACTCATACACTCACTCATACACTCACTCACTCATACTCACTCACTCATACACTCACTCATACACTCACTCACTCATGCACTCCAACACTCACTCACTCATACACTCACTCACTCATAAAATCACTCATACACTCACTCACTCATACACTCACTCACTCATACACTCACTCACTCACTCATACACTCACTCACTCATACACTCACTCACTCATACAGTCACTCACTCACTCATACACTCACTCACACACACACTCACTCATGCACTCACTCATACACGCACTGACTCATACACTCACTCATACACTCACTCATACACTCACTCATACACTCACTCACTCAAACACTCATGCACTCACTCACTCAAACACTCACTCACTCACGCAGATGAAGATCCCCCGTGTAGCCTCTAACAGGGCTGTAGGGGCAAGTGCTGTCAGCAGCAGCAGCGTCTATGAAGGCTACCGGCACTGTGGCTACACACAGAGGGGGTGGATGGTCAGCACCACCACGCCCGGCCGCCTTTGTCTCTCCCCCAGTGCTTGCGATGTTCACTACACCACACCACTACACCACCACCACTACACCACCACCACCACTACACCACACCACTACACCACCACTACACCACCACCACTAGACCACCACCACCACTACACCAACACTACACCACCACCACTACTACACCACCACTACAGCACCACTACACCACCACTACACCACCACCACCACCACTACGACACCACCACTACCACCACCACTACACCACCACCACTACACCACCACCACTACACCACCACTAGACCACCACTACGACACCACCACTACCACCACCACCACTACTACACCACCACCACTACACCACCACTAAACCACCACCACTACACCACCACCACTACTACACCACCACCACTGCTACACCACTACACCACCACCACTACTACTACACCACCACCACTACTACACCACCACTACTACACCACCACCACTACATCACCACCACCACTACACCACCACCACTACACCACCACTACATCACCACCACCACTACACCACCACCACTACACCACCACTACATCACCACCACCACTACACCACCACCACTAGACCACCACCACCACTACACCAACACTACACCACCACCACTACTACACCACCACTACACCACCACCACTACACCACCACTACAGCACCACTACACCACCACTACACCACCACCACCACCACTACGACACCACCACTACCACCACCACTACACCACCACCACTACACCACCACCACTACACCACCACTAGACCACCACTACGACACCACCACTACCACCACCACCACTACTACACCACCACCACTACACCACCACTAAACCACCACCACTACACCACCACCACTACTACACCACCACCACTGCTACACCACTACACCACCACCACTACTACTACACCACCACCACTACTACACCACCACTACTACACCACCACCACTACATCACCACCACCACTACACCACCACTACATCACCACCACCACTACACCACCACCACTACACCACCACTACATCACCACCACCACTACACCACCACCACTAGACCACCACCACCACTACACCAACACTACACCACCACCACTACTACACCACCACTACACCACCACCACCACTACACCACCACTACAGCACCACTACACCACCACTACACCACCACCACCACCACTACGACACCACCACTACCACCACCACTACACCACCACCACTACACCACCACCACTACACCACCACTAGACCACCACTACGACACCACCACTACCACCACCGCCACTACTACACCACCACCACTACACCACCACTAAACCACCACCACTACACCACCACCACTACTACACCACCACCACTGCTACACCACTACACCACCACCACTACTACTACACCACCACCACTACTACACCACCACTACTACACCACCACCACTACACCACCACCACCACTACACCACCACCAATACACCACCACTACGACACCACCACTACACCCACCACTACACCACCACCACTACACCACCACTACACCACCACACCACCACCACTACACCACCACTACACCACCACCACCACTACACCACCACCACTATACCACCAATACACCACCACTATTACACCACCACCACTACTACACCACCACCACAACACCACCACCACTACATCACCACCACTACACCACCACCACTTCACCACAACTACACCACCACCTCTACTACACCACCACCACTACTACACCATCACTACACCACCACTACTACTACACCTCCACCACTACACCACCGCCACTACTACACCACCACTACACCACCACCACTACACCACCACCACTACTACCACACCACCACCACCACTACACCACCACCACCACTACACCACCACTACAGCACCACTACACCACCACCACTACACCACCACCACTACGACACCACCACTACACCACCACCACTACACCACCACCACTACACCACCACTACTACAGCACCACGACTACACCACCACCACTACACCACCACCACTTCACCACCACTACACCACCACCACTACCACCACCACTACACCACCACGACTACACCACCACCACTACACCACCACCACTTCACCACCACTACACTACCACCACTACTACATCACCACCACTACTACACCACTACACCACCTCCACTACACCACCACCACTACACCACCACCACTACACCACCACTACTACAGCACCACTACACCACCACCACTACTACCACACGACCACCACCACTACACCACCACTACACCACCAATACACCACCACCACCACTACACCACCACCACAGCACCACTACACCACCACCACCACTACACCACCACCACTACACCACCACCACTACGACACCACAACTACCACCACTACTACACCACCACCACTACACCACCACGACTACACCACCACCACTACACTACTACTACACCACCACCACTACACCACCACCACCACTACACCACCACTACACCGCCACTACGACACCAACACTACCACCACCACTACACCGCCACCACTACAGCACAACCACTACTACACCACTACCACTACTACACCACTACACCACCACCACTACTACTACACCACCACCACTTCACCACCACCACAGCACCACTACACCACCACCACTACCACCACTACCACCACCACTACATCACCACCACTACACCACCACTAAAGCACCACCACCACCATTACACCACCACTACACCACCACGACTACACCACCACCACTACTACACCTCCACCACCACCACTACACCACTACTACACCACCACTACACCACCACGACACCACCACCACTACTACACCACCACCACTACTACACCATTACACCACCACCACTACACCAATACACCACCACTACTACACCACCACTACACCACCACCACTACTACACCACCACTACACCACTACTACACCACCACTACCACTACACCACCACCACTACTACACCACCACCACTACACCACCACCACTACTACACCACCACCACTACACCACCACTACACCACCACTACTACACCACCACTACACCACCACCGCTACCACCACCACTACGTCACCACTACTACACCACCACCACTACACCATCACCACCACTACACCACCACGAATACACCACCACTACGATACCACCACAACACCCACCACTACACCACCACCACTACCACCACCACTACACCAGCACTACCACCACCACTACACCACCACCACCACTACACCACCACCACCACACCACCACTACTACACCACCACTACACCACCACCACTACACCACCAATAC